TGACAAGTACTGACATTTTGCTGATCGCAAGATAAATTTAGTTGTTATGTTGCCAGAAACACTTGAAAATTCTGCTTATTGATTACTTTCAATCTTTAAAAACAGTAAAAATATCGCAGTCAAAGTTTTGAGAAATCAAAAACAGTTCCTGTGTGTTTGTAAATGACATTGATTGAAAATATGAAATAAAGTCAATTTTTCACTCACATTATTTCAGTCCACACATTTTTAAAGTTCTATAACTCAAAGTTTTTTGGTACTTCCTGAATCAAAAAGTCGAAAAAATTTCGCAGAGTGAAAAGTAGTAAGTGCAGTCAGTGATTAGACAAATTTCGTTCTACTGAAAGATTCACTGCTTGAAGATCAGATTTGGCATTATCGGCAAATATGAAGCATTCATTATTTTAGCAGTTATTGCAGTCACTGTTAACGTATCATGTGCACAAACCGAAAATTTCTCTGACTTTTACTTTTTTTACTTTGAGTTCATAAAATTTTAACAAACAGTAATATTTTACGATATTATTAGAGAAAGCAAAAGTTTTAGGTTTCTTGCCGGAAGTGAAGTAAGCATTCTTTTTCTGATATGTGCTGCAAATTTGTCAGTTTTCGCTTTTATTTTTTATAAAATTTTGACTTATTCTTAATTTATGCGTAAGCGACGCTAACAATTATTCTTTTCGCGTAGTCATCAAATAAAGCAATAATTGGCTGTAGGTAGTGCTTTTCATGGCAATTTCAAAGTTCAATGAGCAAAATTCAATAATCTGAGCGAATTATTCTATCATTTGTTTTCTTTTTATTTGTTCTAAGTTTAACTGAACGCTTTTCAGTTTCATTTTCTTACTAGAAATCGATTCCCTCAGTGCTTTTGATCTTTCTGAAGCAGTTTTCCAGAATGTTGTTAGTTTTTGACAATTTTTACTTTCTTGGCATTCTATCTGCAACGAACATTATTTTTCTTCACATACACGAACGACTTGTAAATTACAACAGAGTCAAATTTACCAGTTCCTTGCCTAAAAATCGTTACTGACTAACTAATATTTTTAATTGATGTAATTCTCCAATAATTCATTAAATGAAAAAGTAAGTCCATTACTGAAGCATTAGATTGAAGTTAGTAAGAAAAAGCTTACTTCAGAATCAGTAATACATATCATGATAAAACCAAAAAGTTTGACTAATTGTTATTTCTCATATTTCAGTATTTCTGGCTTTTGTATTGTGCTGTTTTTTATCATATTGAATAAGTCTTTTAGTCAAATTATTAACGCTGGTAACGTCGTATGCGTTAACAATGTGTGTCATATCTTCGAATAGTAATATTGCTGTAATTAATAAAATAGAATGTAGTGTGATGGTAAATTGTTATTTGCTCAATATTTTCATAATATAGTTACCCGTCTGTTAATTGAAATACAAAATGATTAGTGAGGAAGTGTAATCCTATTAAAACTTCATTTCCTTGATTAGCCATTTTTCATCAGATATCATCGATAAATAACATTCTTTTTGCCATTTGATACTTTATTTTTCATTTGATTACAAATATTAATTAAAACTTCTTGTAGTTTCTGTTGCTAGCACCAGCAAAAGAAAAGGAAGTTTTCAAGACAGGAAAAAAAACTAAGAAACCAGTACCAGAATTGATTATCAATTTTAACTTAATTTGCAAATTATCATTCATCTATGTTTATCCAATCTGAAAAATTCAACAATCTGATATGAAGACGGCAAGTTGTAGCGTTGTTTGTTTAGCAGGGCCTCCCGGAAAACATGCATGGAAAGGAGAACACGATGCAGTGGACATCACAGGGGAAGCCGAACATCTCTCGGTCTGCCAGAAAAACTAGGGTTGCCAGTTGGATGAGGAGGTGAGATGCGCTCATCAATGGGGACCTCCTGATGATAATGCTATTGGTGGCATAGGCATCAAAGGACCCTCACCACCACTGAGACTACATGGTTCAAGAGGTATCCCTGGACCAAATGACATTTGCTCTGATAAAATGGGACTGCCTAGACCAATCGGTGAAATAGTAAGCTAGCGGTATTGTTTGGTCATTCTTTTTTAAACTGAACTCATAATATATTATTTTCTTTAATTTTTAAGATTAAAAGTCGTGCCAATTAGTAGCTGAAAGCTGAAAATGGTTCCACTTTCGACTCAAAATCTAATTTAAAAAAGCTTAAACTGCAACAGGTTACGACTTTGTCGCTAAATTTTGAAGATGTGTAGAAGTGACGGGGGTTTTTTGAAGGAACCAAATGGTCTCCCTGGTGAACGAAGGGAAGCAAAACTACAAAGATCAGTCGGATCTCCCGGTGATAAGAGAATATTCGGTAGATACTGTAAATCGTCTTGTGGCATAGAAGAAATCGTCGCACAATCTTTTCTGGAACGGAGTTAGTTGTTGAAAGCTGAAATCTCCATCGAATGACAGAACACTAAAGTCTGAACAATAATGAGTTATGTTTCGTATTTCCCTTATTTTTTTTCTTTTATTAATTAAAAACACTTGGTGCATTTAATTAAAAAATTAGCATTGTTAGAAAATATTTATGATGACATTTATCAAATAAACATATGTGCATAGATAATTGCTTTTTGCCGCACATTTGTCCCTTTCACGTAATCTTTTTCACGAGTGTTTCCTTTGAATCAGGTTTACGTGAATTTTCTTCATGTAATTCAATTCTCAGTGACTGCCATCACGTTTTTGAAACAGATGGTAGTATTAATATTAATGAACAGCAACTGATAAATCTAGCAATAACTATATATATATATATATATTTCATACAACGTCAGTTTTTGATAAGTCTATTGCCCACGCCAAGTTTCTTAAAACATTTGAAATTATTGCTAGATTTATCAGGAAGCTTTCGTGACTCAATCTAAAATTTTTTTTTGATATTCAGAAATTTCCTTTGTCTATTATATGCCGTTAAATTTATTCATGTTCAATATTTCTCAATGTCTAATTTCGATTGAATAAAAAATTTTATACTTTTGTTTTGTTTCTGTCAGAATTGCTTGTAAAGCGCTTCTGATTTCAGAAAGTTCACAGCTCATAATAAAAGAATCTAATATTAATAATAAGGCAACGCCATACACGATAATTCCAAAAAGGTACTTGCCAGTGTAAAGCTAAAACATGAAAACAATTATGCGAGTCATTTATACTATTGTATATAATGTTATTTTCCGTGACTGCAAAAAATTATCTTACAAATTAAGCATTTTGTCAGATTGTTTGTTTTGGATTGGATAAGTATGAAAACTCAAACGAAAATAAAACTGCAGGAAAGAAATATGTTTATTGTTAGGCAAGAAAGACATCCAAGATTATTATTTTGCATGAAATAAAGTTATCCAATCTGCAACTGAATTTAAATTTCTTTAATATATTAATTGACTAGAAGAAAAAGCTAAAAAATAGTAGGGTTTTCAGTTGACATTTCCATCTTGAAATTGCATATAAAACTTTCTTATCATAAAATCTCTATTTTGATACTTAAGCTCATAATAAATTACTTACCTTTTCAATTTCCTTTTCCTTTGACTGTACAACTTCTGAGTAACAATAATTAATAAAATGAGTAACCTTAATATCAGCCTCTTTGATAAATAATAAATTTTTGATTATTTGAAAAACTTTCAGTCTTATTTCCTTTCCAGTGACTAGCACCTTCTCTACTTGAATCGCTTTTTATCATGCTTATCCCATGAATATAGCAAAAATCTTTTCTTTTAAAAATATGCATTCAAAAAGCCTTGCAAGCGAAAAACTGTCAATTTTTGTGTTGCTAGGATACAATAAATTTGTATTAAAATTTTATACTTTTGTTTTTAGCTTAATCAAAAAATGCTAAATAAGCAATAGTCTCTGTACATTCGTTTGCTCTGCAAGTTGATTCTCGCTGATAATTAGTGAAAGAGTTTCCGAATTTATAATTTGCAGTTATGAGTTTACTGAAAGAGGCATAAAAATTTTGATTTAATGCAATTTCGAATTGCATCTTAAAAAGTTTACAATCACATTTACTGCGGAAATTTATTCATAAAATACAAATAATTAACATTTTGACCCATTATTATTATTTCTTTGTTTCTCTTCTTCAATAATTATTGTGTTGGATATTTCAATAATTATTAAAGAAAAAAAACAAAAAAATTATTTTATTTTATTGATTAATATTTCACATATTGTGTTGAAACAAAAAGTATTTTACGGGAAACAAAATGTACTCAAAATTTAGATGGAAAAAAATCTTGAAGGCTGACGACAGAATTTTTACACTATTTTTATATACTTTTAGTCTTTTATACTTTGTTCAAGGATGTAATCACACTTGTACTACAATTTTTGCGAAACAATTTCCTATTTGATACCTCTGGCAATCGAATTAATTTAGATATTAGAATTCATATTCCCATGGACCTTTACTAATAATTTAGTTAGATCGTTGCACTCACTGGCAGGTTTGTTTGATTACTAGTTTAGTTCTATTTTAACTCAAAACAGAACAAAACTTTTAGTACTTATTACAGGAATTCTTGAAGAGAACTCCAAATAACTGCATTTTTTTTGAGAACATAAATTAAAATTTCGATGGCATTTTCATAAGCCATATTTCTACTGAAAGTATTCTGCATAGAACAAGAATGAACTCAAACTTGTTTCAAATATCTCAAATGCTTTATGCTAGAGAAATGTGTTTAGCTTAGCATTTTCGTTTAGTTTACGAAAACTATCATTAGCATACTTATGGAAGTTAGATTCAAAACTTCTTAATTATTTCAAAGTTTTGCAAAATGTGCTAAATATGTTTACAGCTCTGCTATGGATCCTTGTCAAGAAGCATCGGAATTAGCTCACAGTCAAACACTCCGTAATCTTCTTATCAGCATTGCAGTCATATCAGCTCTAGCAGTTATTGCTGAATTGTGGGCAATAAAAAGTAAAACCAGTCAGATGTTACTCCATCAAAATACCCGAATGTTGCTCATCGTTCACCAAATATGGCTTATCATTCACTGCATCGCCAGGTCGTTCTGCTTAGCAAGTTTTTTACCACACGCTCACGAAATGTTAAGTTAAAACAAAGAACTTCACGTTAGAAGTCCAGTCCTGAACAAATCTGGAGCAATTATTTAAGAGTGTTCACAACATATTTTATGTTTTATATTTTATCTATTTTTTCCTTTAATATTTAAAAATAGAAAGTTAATGAAATACATCTTTGAGAACACTTATTTCTGTTCGCATTCACAATGTGAATTTTTTTATTGCTTTTATGCAAACAACAAATTTATCTTGCAGTGAAGTATTTATAAAAATGTTGATTAAATCGTTCACAAATAACTACAGAATCTTCGCTTATGCATATTTA